TGAATATTTCTTATTATATCTACTATATACCATATTGATACAACAAAATTATGTTTAATTTTAATAATATAGTACCGAATCAATGAAATACTCTTTCAGGGAGGGCTGCCTACTTGAGCATGTCATCGAACAACGTGCAAGCCATGTTGATCCTATCCAGCTTACAAAACCCACCAATCAAGCAGCTGTACGTGATAACATCTGGATTGCAAAACTTGGCCTTCATTTCTCCAACAGCCTGTTCGCTTCCAGCACCCTTCCTGTCTTGCAAAGGCCGTCAATAAGTGTGTTGTATGTGTTGATATCCAGAAGGCACCCTGTTGCTGTCATCTCTTCCATCAGCAAAAGTACGGAGTCTACCCTGTTGGTCATGAAAAAGCCATGGATCAAGCTGTTGTAAGTCACCATGTTTGGCTCAATGCCCCAGACTGTCATTCTCATGATAATCTATGGAGGATGAAGCTAGGGTTGTGTTGTTTGCAAGTGGTTGTCGTTCAACTCACTATGGTCACTAAAGCCAAAGTTCTAAATGGAGTTCCAACATCTTGCAATATTGTATGTATCAACTTTATATTCTTCGCACCACTAACGATACCACTGAGTGCTCAATTCTCCTTAAGCTCATTGAGCGCCAACTCAATCACTATGGGCATCTTGTCTTTAACAACATGTGGTACTTTTAACAACACTTGACTAATGCATATGAATAGACATCAAACTTTTAAAATGCACTAAATGCAAAAATTATGTATATACTACAAGGTTTTATGCTTGCTAAACACTCAAGGATTTTAAAATCACTTTTTATAACACTTTATAACCTCTTATACACTTACTATATATTAGATGTTGTTCTCCATTCAAGTAAAAATTTCTCAATCAAAAGAGATGATTAAACATGAAATATAAGCATAAACCAACAAAAAGCTTTAAAAAAAGACCTTTAAACTTTTTGTAGAAATCATGAAACCAAACTCTAAAAACATGTATAACAATCTTGTAAAAAAGTAAATTTAAAAATCTCACTCAAATACTCTCAAAACACTCACTAAATCTAACAAACACATATCCAAATAAAAAATATAAAGATTTTGTAACTGCCAATTCCTAAAAAAAAAATTTAGAGCTCGTTGAAAAGCTTTATCTAAGATTTATCTAGCCATGTAAGAAAGATTTATCTGCATTACTTAGAATTGCATGAGAATGCCTTAGACATTTTTTACACTCTAAATAAAAGAACCTAAGTGAAAAGCTCTATATATTATTTGATCTTGGATTAAAACTCACATATAAAGACTCTAGAAAAAGCTTACAAATAAATCTATCTGACAAGTTAAAGAAAGATTAAAATTGTTAGAATTAAAGTTAGCTCTTAAATACTTCACTAATTTATCCATCAATATTTACTTTAGCTTTAGACTCTCTAATTCTTATATTATCACCCACTATATAGGTATAATCGACATTAGTTTTCCTAGAGTAATCCCCTTTTATTATTCCATATAAATTTACCAAAACCCTGCGCTCCTCCTAGGGTTTGGGAGAGCACAAAGGACCTGCCAACCCTAAAAGTGGTTTCATTCATTTAAGGAACTGATTGCTTTGCCCCCTGAATATATTTAGCCCTAGATACTTTAAACATTTAATTTTTCGGTGAGATAGTTTTGACAGGATCTTGTTATCCATCTTAGAGAAGATTATTTTTGAGATTTCCACCAACAAGAGAAGACGAGAAGTTCTTACCATGGAGTTCCAGGGGATGTAGAAGTCGGAGACAGCCGCTGCAAAGTAAAACATAGCATGCCTGCCAACTGGTTTCATGGCAGCTCTAACAATCTCTAAATCTGCCACGAAAAACCATCATAGAAACCAGCGTTTGCACTGCACATTTCTTACTTGGAGGTACTCAAAGAGCGTAGTGAACTCGAGCTTCAAGAGCTTCTTCTGGAGCACCGCCTGTTTTGATTCTTAAGAACTCAAGAAGAGAAACAAGAACTGAGCTTACAGAATGATGTCCTGTGACTTCCCGAGTCACAACATCAAACCATTTTTCTCGTGCTGCGAAGCGGGAGTTAAACTCTCGAAGAAATAAATGGCAGATTTCACTTACCCCAGATTGATCCATCCACAGGCTCGAGACATTCTTGTATGGGATTATCCGGCAGCGAGCGGCAAAATGGCTGCATAGATCCTCTAAAAAGTATTTCATGAAAGTAGCCATTTGCAAAAGAAAAAACAGAGTGCTGCTTGCCTCCGATGAAGGCAAATCAACATCATAGTCACTTGCCAGGAAGTACCTTGCAAAAAAATAAAAAATAAAATAATAAAATAGAAAAAAAAATTAAAGAAGAATGAGTAGAAAAGAATAACGCACTCTGTGGAGGCTGCTCATCGACTCCCCGATCGACTCCCCGAGCTGAAATTGTCAATGACCCTAACGCATCGTCGCTCCACGTGCCCCCGGATGTAACAACAGCAATGTATATGAGCTATGAACCCTAAATTCGATAACCCATTTTATGAAGGTAAAGTTTCGGAAAAGTAGTAGAATCAAGAGGAGCGTGAGTTTGCGAGCAGCACAAGAGAAGCTCCATCGCTGGGGCTCGAAAGCAAAGCTCGTTTCGTCACTCGAGCACCGTTTTTCCAGATTCTATCACCTCTGGAAGAACTTAGCATGGACGTCCAGTCCCACGAGTTGGGAAGAAAAGGCATGGTTTGCGCAAGCTCTTCCGCCGCATCCAGGTATCCCGCTCGCCCCAGCATGTCCACAATGCAGCAGTAGTGTTGCTTCCTGGCCGCCACTCCGTAATCCAGACGCATGGAGTTGAAGTAGGAGCCGCCGACATTGGGCTCGCCCATTTGGCTGCTCGCCATCAGCACCAAAGTGAAGCAGGAATCGTCGGGCATCTCCACTAGCTTCATCTCTTCGAAGGAATCAAACACGTCGCTGGGGCTGCCGGCTTGGGCATATGCGGTCAGCATTGCACTGAAGGATTCAACGCTGCGCAGGGGCATCGTTTGGAACACCTTCCTTGCAAGAGAAAGATGCCCGTTTTGAGCATACGCCGAGAGCATTGCGTTCCATGACACCAAGTTCTTGTCTGGCATTTCGTGAAAGACTCTTCTAGCCCCGGTAAGATTCCCTTGCAAGGAGTGTGATGTTAGAAGAGTGTTCCAGGTTGCAAGATTCCATGCCGGCATTTTGTCGAGGATTTTCGTGGTTTCGTCCAGGAGGCCGCACTGGGAAAGTCCCATGGCTATGGCGTTCCAACACACGGCATCTACGTATGGAAGAGAATCAAAGAGGCAGCTAGCTTCCTCAAGGCGTTGGCTTTGGGCGTAGGCGACGAGCAGCGTTGTGACGGAGACAAGATCGTGCTGTGGCATCTGATTGTGAAAGAAGCGCTCAGACTCTTTCAGGAGGCCGCAGTGGACGTAGCCGGAGAGGATTGCCGTGCAAGTCGAGAGATTCCTCACACGCATGGCGTGGAAGAGCTCCAGAGAAGACTCCAGATGCCCGTGACGGGAGAATGCTGCAATTGCGCAAGTGCACGAGACGACATCGTGCTCCGGCATCTCTTCAAAAGTGCTTTCCACATCCGCGAGCTGAGATAAAGCCCCCAGCATCGTCGTCCATGAGACCAAGTTGCGAGCAGGCATTTTGCTAAAGACTACCTTGGCAGAATCAAGATGCCCATTTTCGGCAAAGGCAAAAAGCACCGCGTTTATGGAGAAAAGATCGTGCTCTGGCATCAAGTTTGTAACAGATTGTATTTCTTGCATTTGGCCTCTCTGGGAGGCAACAGAAATCATAGTAGTAAATGACACGAGGCTCCAGCACGGCATGCAGCTGAAGAACTTTCGCGCTTCCTCAAAGTGCCCGTTTTTGCAGTAGGCAACCAGCAAAAGATCCCAGCTGAACTTGTCCCTCTTGGCCATACCATGGAAGATCTGAGCTGCATGCTTGATGTTACCACATCTACCGTGCATTTCAATTTGCTTGTTCAGGACGAAAACACTGCTTAGATATGAATTTCTAAAACACTCCATGAGAGAAATTATTAATTACGATTTGATGGAACTGAGCAACAATCTAGAGTTGGAAGGTCCCTGATTTTTCTGCAGGAGGGATCCACCCAATTCCATGGTATCTAGCGCTCGTCCATCCCCATTCTGCGTTTCCGGCCATCCACACCTCTATCCCGTTCACATAGTCCATGACTCCTTGCTTCATGGCAGGCCCACTTGAAATGATCTCATGCTTTGTCCGAGTGAAATCCTTCTCCAAATCCTCCACCATGCTCGCAACCTTGCCGATTGCCTCGTTCAAGCCACACTTACAATTGCTGGCGAGAATGGTCACGGTGTTGAGGTAGTTTCCACTCGCCCACTCCTTCCTGAGCAAGATCAAGTCATTGTGGAGCGCAATGTGGTGCGTCCCAATCTCCTCAACCTTGCGTATGAGAGGATGATCCAGCACGCCACGCTCCTCCAGCCTAAGTTGCAGTAAACCATCAATCAGAGCAAAGCAAGGAGCCACACCAGATGTGATCTCTCTCAGCCAGAGGTACGTATCCAGGTTGGGAATGATTTGCTTGCGAAGCCAGCTCGATTCAATCTCAAACATGTCGAGCACCTTGGTCATAGCATCCACGAATCGGCCTGATTCATCCACTATATGGAGGGACAGTTCTTCCAAAACCTCAGCTAACATCTTCATTTGCCTCAGCAACTCCGGATTTTTCACTGGAAGTGTGGCCTCGTCAAATCTTCCCTTGAAAACCATCTTGTATGCGGTTGCCACATATCTTATGTCTGACGAGGAGATCTCCGGGCTATCCAGAATGTCATCTGCAAGAAAGAACCAAGCGATGAACTTTGCAACCGGAACAATCTTCTCGTATGGAATGGTCGGGTAAACATAAGCCGCGAGCAATCCAAGCCTGCTTTCTTGAACAAACACAGCTTTCTCGCTTCCAGGTTGCAACTTCAGAAACTCCGCGCACCACGCATTGATCTGAGCGTCGGCCTTTGCATCGTACAGCGGATTCAGCACTGGAGAGGCAAGAGTTTACACACTGGTGGAATGGAATAGCTTTTCTCCACTG